GCACTTTAAAAGAAGAGTCAGGGAGGATGCCAGGAAGGCACTCTGCTATGAAAGGAATCTGCAGCACATGGTTTCTGAGCTCGTGAGCTATCCGGACGGGACGTGAAGAGACTTCTACTTGCATAACAGAGGACCCCAACAGAGAAGAACCGGCCCTCCATCCAGACAGCTCCCCTCTCCCCCTCCCAGAGCCAGGAAGAAAGATTGACAGAGTGTTCAACCTAAAAATCAGTTCTTTCTGTGGGGGGGTGCATATTTGTGTACATGCCAGTACACATGTGTGTGTATGCACAAGCATGTGTACATGTGGAGGCCGGAGATCAACCTTAGGAGTCCTTCCTCAAGGCCAACCATATACCATATACCACATACCATACACATACTACATACAGGGGTATGTCTGGGGAGGAGTGTGTGTGTGTGTGTGTGTGTGTGCAGGTGTATACATGTGTGTGCCTGTGTTTGTGTGTATGTGTGTGTGTGTCTGTGTATGTATGGGGTTTGGACAAGGGGTGCAAACAGGGACTTTTGTATTTTAGACTGCATTCTTTTGGGGGCGGGGTTGAGACAGGGTCTCCCTGTAGCCCCAGCTGTCCTGGAGCTCATTATGTAGACCAGACTGGCCTGGACTTCACAGAGATCCACCTGCCTCTCCCTTCTAAGTGCTAGGATTAAAGGCATGCACCACCATGCCCGGCTAGACTGCATTCTATACATTGTGTGAATGCTTTTACAGTGCTATAATCTGGCTCTAAAACATCTCTCAGAGGACCATATGTTGAGGTCTTGGTTCTTTCCTTTATTGCACGTGTGTGTACATGTGTGTATGCATTCTCACATATGTAGCTGCGTGTGCACAAGTGTGCATGTGTGGACCCAAAGCTGACATCAGGTGTCTTCCTCAGTCTTCACTTTATTTATGGAGGCAGTCTCTCAACTGAACCCAGATCTCACCAATCCCGCTGGTCTAGCTGGCCAGCTGGCCCTGAAAAATAATACCTATGATATGCCAAGTTTATGGAATCAATAAGTAAGAGGCAATGAATGATTCAGTAGAAGAAAAGAATAACAGAAACTACCAACCAAAGAAATGTACATGGAAAATTAATATATGAAAGAAGAGATCAATTGTATTAGTAAATGGGAAAATGCAAACTAAAAAACAACAGCACGTGGATCATTTTGCACCCATCAAATTCATAACAATTTAAAAGATTGGCTATTCTCAGCAGTAATGAGGTTGTAATGCAATTCAGTCTCAAAAGCTGTTGGTGGGAATATAAATTCACACATCCTTAGGAAATCAATTTGGCCAGATTTATCAAAGTATTAGATGTGTATCCACTTGCTGCAGACAATCCCATTTCTCTACAGGAGAGAATAAGTCATGTGCACAAACAAAGAAGTACAACAGATTATTTGTTGTAGCCTTTTATATATTAGCGACACTTACAAACAAATCAAATGGTCATGAATAGGAAAGGCGATGATGAACGAGGCCCTGTTCCCATCATGCAGTACCATGTGGGTCTGTGAACACTAATGCACGGGCATCAGGCTGCCAAGGCATATATAACTTATAAAGCTGCTAAGAAACACATTGTAGTGCTTGTTAAAAATGAAGGTAAAAACTGCATCTAAGCTGGGAGCTGTAACGCACGCCTTTAATCCCAGCACTCAAGCTCTGCGAGTTCAAAGTCAGCATGGTCTGTACAGTGAGTTCCAGGCCAGTCAGGGCTAAGTAGTGAGACTCTGTCTCAAAAAACCAAACTCTGTATTTACAGACATTGTGTGTGTGTTACATGTGGTATGCGTATGTGTGTAGTATGTGTATGGTATGTGGTATGTGGTGTGGTGTGTGTGTGTATGTGATGTTTGTGTGTGTGGTGTATGTGTGGTGTGTGGTGTTTGTGTATATGTGTATGTGGTATTTGTGTGTGTATGTGGCATAGTGTTTGTGCATATGTGTGTGTTGTGTTTGTGTGTATGTGTGGTGTTTGTGTGTGTGGTGTATTGCGGTATGTAGTATTTGCATGTGTGTGTGTTACATGTGGTATGTGTATGTGTGTGGTATGTGTATGGTATGTAGTATGTGGTGTTTGTGTGTGTGTAATGTTTGTGTATGTGTGGTGTTTGTGTCTGTGGTGTATATGTGGTGTGTAGTGTTTGTGGGGGGGGTATGTGTGGTGTGGAGTATTTGTGTATATGTGTGTGGTGTTTGTGTGTGTGTAATGTTTGTGTATGTGTGGTGTTTGTGTCTGTGGTGTATATGTGGTGTGTGGGTTTGGAGGGGTATGTGTGGTGTGTAGTGTTTGTGTGTATGTGTGTGTGGTGTTGTGTACAAGCAGCATTGTATTAGTTACTTTTCCCACTGCTGTGACAAAATTCTTGACAAAGCAACTTAAGCGAAGAAGGGTTTGTTTGTAGCCCCCAGTTCGAGGGTACAGCCAACATGGCAGGGAAGCCATGCGTGTGAAGCAGCTGGTCACGTTGCACCCATAGTCAGGAAGCAGAGAGATGAATGCGGTGCTCAGTGCACTGTCTCCTCTTTATTCAGTCAAGGACCCCAGTGCTGTCCACATTCAGGGTGTGCAATACCTCCTCAGCCTGGCCACGCTGTAAACACCCTCAGAGACATACCTAGAAGTGTGCCTTCTAGCTGATTCTAAATCCAGACAAGCTGACAGTGAACCATCACAAATGTACATGAACATCATCTCAGGAGGCTACGGGGGGAGGGGGTATGTCTAGGGAGGAGTATGTGTGTATGTGTGCATGTGTGTATGTATGTGGGGGGATGAGACAAGGGGTATAAACAGGGACATTTATACATTATATATATTTTATAGTCTGCATTCTACACATTGTGTGAATGTTTTACAATGCTATAGTCTGACTCTAAAACATCTCTCCGAGGACCATGTGTTAAAGGCTTGGTACCATTGGGAGGTAAAGGAACGTTCAAAAGGTGGAGGTTGGCTCAGCAGATAAAGGCACTTGCCACCAAGCATGATGACTTGAGTTCAGTCCCCAGAACCCACATGGTGGGGAGGGAGAACCAATTCCTGAGAGTTGTCCTCTGACCTACATAAATTTTATTTATATATATATATATATATATGTATATTAGAGAGATGGAGCTTGGTAGGAGGATATTAGGCCACTGACAATGACCCTTAGTGACAATTAAGCTCTATTACTAATTGACACAGTTCATCATGGCGAGGAGGTCTGATCACCTCAAGAACAATGGGAAGCAGGGGGATAGGGTTGGAGGAGGCTGGGGTCCCAATATCCTCCTCAAGGGCTGTATTTGTTACTTCTCTCTTTGCTGTGACACATATTACCTGACAAAAGCAAGCAGAAGCAGGGAGAGATGAATGTTGGTACTCAGCTAACTTTCCCTTTTTATTTACTCCAGGACCTCAGTTCATGAGATGATGCTGCCCACATCAGGCCTGTGGTCTTCCTACTTCAGGCAAATCTCTCTGGAAACACCCTCACAGACACGCCCAGAGATATGTCTTACACACTTATTCTGACCTCAATCACCCCTCAAGCTTAACCCACCTGCAACCTCTCACTGGCCTTACCAGCCCAACAGCTGTGTTTATGTTCATAACAAAAGCCTGGGCACAAATGTTGGAAGAGGGAAGAGTAGGTGTGGCTATAAAGCGTGATGTAATGGTAAACTCTGTTATGGTGAACTATTTGTGTATCCAGATCACAGTGGTGGTTGCATATAGGTGAAAAGGACCTGGGACCTCTATACACTGTCCTTGAAGTTTCTATGAACTTATAATCATTTCAAGTTTACTGGAGAGGACCAGAGGGACGGCTCAGTAGGTAAAGCAGTAGGTAAAGGTACTTGCTACCAAACCTGTCAACCTGAATTCTACCCCCAGGACCCACTTGATAGGAGAGAAACAACTCCCCCAAGTTGTGCTCTGATATCCAAATATGAGCTGTGATGTGCACACACACACATGCATGCACGCACAAATTATATATATATATATATATGTTTTTGAGACAGGGTCTCCCTGTAGCCCCAGCTGGCCTGTAACTCACTATATAGGCCAGGTTGGCGACAACTGCCACCATTGGCCCTGTTTATAGGTTTTTGGTTTGTTCTTTTGTTTTTTGTTTTTTTAATGTGTATTTGTGTATTGCCTGCATGTATGTAAGTGCACTCATGTTGTGCAATACCCACGGAAATCAGAAGATGGTGCCAGATCGCCTGGAACTGGAGTTATTGATGGTTGTTAGCCACCATGTGGGTGCTGGGAATAGAACCCTGGTCCTCTGCAAGAGCAGCCAGTGCTCTTAACCGATGAGCCATCTCTCCAGTCCCTGTTTACAGGATTTTATTTGGACATAATTTCTTGTTTCTCCAGGATACATGTAGACAACATGGAGGAATCATTTTGAGTCTATATTCTCCTCTATTAAAATATGGCTGCCAGGGCTGGAGAGATGGCTCAGCTGTTAAGAGCATGGGACGCCAGTTCAATTCCTAGCATCTACACGGCAGCTAACAACCGCCCATAACTCCAGTTCCAGGAGATCCGACACTTTCTTCTGACATCCAAGGGCATTGCATGACAGGGGTGCACTTATACACATGAAGGTAATACACTCATACACATAAAATATTAAAAAATAAAATATTTAAAAATATGGCTGCTGCTCTGAAAAGGACGGAAGAGCCAGCTGACTCCTCCCAGAGCCCGTGGTTTGGTAGGTTATTAATGCTTGTTGGAAGTAATGGTCCTGCTGTTGGGTGGACATGGCTCTGGGATGTTCTGCAGTTAAATCTTTCCAGAATTTTCACATTCATTCCTGGCATGCCTGTTCGGCTACTGGGAAGGGAGCCTGCCTGTCTCTCAGGGAGGAAAAGTAAGAGAAGACAGGTGGACTCTGCGACAGAACCACTGGGAGGCAGCAGAGGACGGAGAATGGTTCCCAGCTCCGCGCCGGAGCTGGCAGATTTGCAAAGGGAAAGGCTCCCCAGCCTGACTGCTGCAGGTGTAAGATCGGTTTGTGGATTCCCAGTGTCTTACAAAGATCCAGGACCAAAACTGGACCTCCGGACCGTCAAATTAAAGAAAGGAGCAATGAGGTAGGTTCGGCAGGCTCATCCCCTCCTCCCTACCTTCTCCCCTTTGTGCGGTAGCGACCCCACCCCAGCCAGGCATCCTGCGCTTCAGACCTTCAGGGATGAGGTCGCTCCAGTGAATTTCCTGGAGTTACTCTGATAGTTAAGTGTGTGTGTGTGTGTGTGTGTGTGTGTGTGTGTATGAGTGTATTCCCTGAATGTATGTAAGTGCACCCGTGTCATGCAATGCCCGCAGAGGTCAGAAGAGAGCGTCGAATTCCCCTGGAACCGGAATTATAGAACCCAGATCCTCTGCAAGAGCAGCCGGTGCTCTTAACCCCTGAGCTATTCAGTCCAAGTAAGGAAAGTGTCTTAACACCTGGCACCTGACAGATAAATCATAAGCCTGTTCGGGCGCCCCCTGCTGCCCTACCACAGTTCTGCTAGTACAGACTCAAGATGCAGGATCCCTAGTGGTCACTAGGGGACGGTGTGGGTCCATCGGGCCAGCTTTGCGGAAATCCAGGCCTTTTCCGTAGGAAGTGCTGCGGAATTGGAGCAGCTGAGTCTGGATCTTGCCTTCTTTCACCAGAATTATCTTCACTGTCTCCACAGCCTGGAACAGTCCCAGGGTAGGCAGAGCAAAGACTGAACAGGTGGGGCTGGAGTTAGGGATACAAACACCAGAGACCCTCAGACTAGGGGCACCAGGGTCCTCACCTACAGCCTAGATTCTGGTTGGAGTTGGTCCATTTAGAGACCCTACCTGCTGTGTGGTTCCAGACACTTCTGCTCAAAAGCATTATGGGGAGGCAGGATAGCACCCAGCCTGAGCGTTCATTTTCTACACAGTTGAATTGGGACAGTTTGAAGATCTGGGTTATGAAACTCACAAGCCTGAAAACCACCAGTGACTTAGTTAAATCCCCACTTAGTCCTTGTTTACCATTTTTTAAATACTATAAACCAGATTGCATCATTCGCTCCAGACCCGAGTTACAATCCAAGGCCCCCCAGCAGGGCCTGGCGAACCCCACAGCATCTGGCCCCACCTGACCTTCCTTTGACCGTCGGTCGTCTCACCCCTCTGCTCAGGCCCCAACCAAGGCACATTCCGTATTGGAAATCCTCTCTGTCAGAGACTCATTCATTCCCTTCAGAAACCTGTGTGGTCTATTATTATAATATTATGGCCTCTTTTTCTCTCCTGCAGTCCTCCCAGTCTGATTTTTTTTTCTTTTGCAGCAAGAAAGGCTACCCACCTGACTTCACATCATGAGTTCCTGTTTACTATCCTTCTGCCCCAGAGATGTACCCAAGGACCAGGATTTTATCTTTTTCATTGCTCAAGGTCTGATAGAGTTCACTCCTGCTGAATGAATGTAAGTCTAATTCAACATGTGCCTCTGTGAGCTGGTGCATTCTGCTACAATCTCACAGAGATCCACCTGCCTCTGCCTCCTGAGGGCTGGGATTAAGGGCGCTTGCCACCACACCCAGCTGCATCCTGTTGTTGTTATAAGAATGAGGTAGGGGTAAATTTGAAGTGGGCCCAGGCTCAAACAGAAAGGGAAGGGACTTTCCAGCCAGTTTCCCCTTCTTGGTGTAGCCAGTAGCCACTATACCAGTGGGGTGTAGAAACCCTGGGTACCACCAAGGTTTTTCCCAGGAGTGCCCTCTGCTCTGTGCCTCTGTGTAGAAGTGGCATCGCACCCCCACCCAGGTCTGGCACGTTGGTCCAGCTTCCAGTGAGAGCTGGAGCTAGATGACCTGGAATTTAAGTGTCTTGGAGAGCATGCCCTAAGGCACCCTGGAGTATCTGGTGTTCAGCTGGTGACCCACAGAGAGCAAAGAGCTGGTGTGTGTGTGGGGGGGTGGCCATGTTATTGGGAAAGATATAGAGGTTGACTTGATAGAGAGGGCTGGAATTGTGCGGCAGAGGAATGACAAGAGCCACCACCTCATAAATGGTTCATTGAGATCCCTGCAGGGCACACCAGTGAGCCCAGCTTTGTGCCCCTGTGTAACAAGTGAGCAGTTAGGTGTGTCACTGAGCGAGCAAGTGGAGGGCAGCTACACATTCTTTGGAGATGCTTGGTGCAGGAGCTTTGCCGTTCACAAAGAGCACTTAGACAAGGTACATTTAAATGGGGGAGTGGGGGGGGCGGTGAAGCCCGGTGTAGCAGTGTACACCTTTAATCAGCACTCAGGAGAGGCAAATGCAGGTGGATCTCTGTGTGCCAGGTCAGCCTGCTCTACAGAGTAAATTCCAGACCCTAAGCCAGAGAGGAGAGAGGAGAGAGGGGAGGAAGAGGAGAGAGGAGAGAGGAGAGAATGTGGCTTGGGATTTAGAGGTGCAGGATGGGCCTGAGGGGTACGCTCTTGTCTGGGTCAGGACTGCCTGCCCAGCAGTGGGCACAGGAAGCACAGGGTGGAAGAGCGCTGTGCAGGTTTCTGGAACATTCTGTGCGGGACCCCTCCCTCCACGGGGCGGTCTCCAGGGACTGTCTCTCACATCCATTCTCTCCTCCTTGATTTATGCTGCAGAGTGGAACGACCTTCCCTGACCTCATTTTCATGTCGGCGCGAGCACACCCGGAGCCCGCGCCACACACTCAGGAGGAGGCTTGCACCACACTCACACACTCACACGCGCCACCGCGGGCACACCCGAGACTCGGGACTGCTGGACCCGCTGGACCCCGCCAGGCCCTAAGTTCACACCAGCTCCAACACCATTATGGGCACTGCCTGGGCTGTGGACGCTCAAAGAATAGAGTCTCATTAGCATCTTGCTTTGAATATCATTTGCATTTTATTCATCTTGTGTCAAAACGCTTAGAACTCTTTCCCAGCCCGCATTTCTTCCCGGAGCTCAGGAATCGTGGACCTCCATCTCTATTCCACCCCCACTTCCCTTTGGGCCCCACTTTTGCTGGCTGTCCCTTCACCCCATCCATCCTGGCATGACCACAGTTTCGGTTTTTAAAAGGGCTGATTTCAGGAACTCTGGGCAAGTTCCAGGCTCTGTCCTTTCTAGCCGGTAAGAAGTCTTAGAGCATCCACAACGAAAAGGCATTAAAACCCTTTGAGAGCCGAGGAAACTGAGTCAGGAAGGTGCCTCATTCCCCCAAGTGTTGGAACAACAACAACAAAAAAAAATCAAAGACAGTCAACTTAAATCCAAGAAGACAGGATGTCAAAATCGTCACTCGACGGCCTGGCCTCGTGCAAGGTCAAAGCGAAGGTAACAGGAGGAAGAAAGTGGTCCACTGGACAGCCACGACCCCTCCCCAACCCGGCCTTGGGGGGACCGGCTGTATTCCCAGGGCCGGGGCCCACAGCTCCCCCTCTCTCCCTCCTGGCCCCTGTCCTGACCCCTTCCCAAGAGCGGGCTCGGCCGGGTCCAGTCGCGGTGCTCGTGGGGTCGTCTGTCGGCACTGGCTAGTTAAGAAAAATAAACAACGTTCCAAATGAAGGCGATTCTTTTCAACCCGAGCCCCGCCGCCTGCCAGAGAAATGCAAACAGCAAGGGGGGAACGGCCCCAGCCCGCCCCGGCCCCCGAGTGCAAGCAGCGGGTGGGAGGGCGGTGCCGAGGTAATCCGAGCCTCCGCGCCGGCTCCCTGCGCGCTGCCCTCTACCTGCCCCTTCGCCCCTGACCCTGACGATGGTGAGCGGGTCCTCTGCGGGGGCCCCAGCCGGGACCAGATCCCAGCCAGGCAATCTAGGCTCCCGGAATTGCTTGGTCATCCAGAACATTCAGCGCAGGGGACTCCCCCCGACCCCGACCCCGATGGATCACCCCAGGATCTCCCGCACCCTTACCCAGCGCGTTCAGCATAGGGAGACCCTCATCCCAATCGGTCACCCTAGAAGTAGCCCCCTCACCCAGCGCGTTTAGCAAGGGGGGGACCCTATCCCAATCGGTCACCCTAGGAGCTCCCGTAAACCCCCCCCCCGCACACGTGGTTCCAATCAGCAGCATTCCGCTGCCCTGACTGCGCATCACTAAATACCAACAAGAAAGGGGAACAGAAAGATCAGAGTTGGGGACTGCTTCCACATGTGTCCCGGCACCATCCTGCAATATGTGGTGTGGACACCCAGGACTGCTGCAGATAAAGGCCGGGCCTGGCACAGCCTGGTCACTGTGGGCTTGACCAGGGCAAAGGAATAGCGTAAAACCGGGAGAGAGAATCAGCCTAGACCAACCAGACGAGCAGCGCTGCTCTCGGGTTACTTTCCTCCCAGATCTTCAAAAACCTGTGGCCGGGGCCACCAGGGGGAGAATGTCCCCGCGTGGCTCCAGACTCCCCTTGGAGGAAACGCAGCTTGGAAGACGCGACAGCGCCACCCTCGTTTGTAAAGTAACTCCACAGAGGCGGATAGCTGCACACGCGCTCCAGCTGCAGGAAAGATCGGTCCACCCAGCTGGGTGCACAGAAAATTCCTGGAAACTTGGCAGCACTGCCTCTCCAACTTCAGGAGAGGTCGCTACTCCTTGTGGCCCGGTGGCCTCGCCTGTCGCAGAGGCACCTGGGATTCGCCATGGTCTTGCTCCAGGGTGGGCCATCACCGAGGATTGGGGAGGGTCGGTGATGCACCCGCATCCTTCGAATTCCTGACTGCCAAAGTGGTTCTTGAGAGTGGCGAGAACAGTCGGTTGGAAAGCTGCTGTGGGTTCCGGGGCTCTAAGGCAAACTCACAGTTCGTAAGCTTCGGGTCACCTGCCCTCCCTAGCTCCTTTACGAGACAGGCCTACCCGAACGGTCCTAAGAATGTTTGCATCAGTCCCTGCCTGGGCTTTACCGTTACCAGTTACTTGTGTGCGTTAGCAGCCAAGCGCTGCTCCGGCAGTGTTGCGCACAGACGGGTGCCCACGCACGTGCATTCCCGCACACTTGGAGTCCCCTCCCTGGTCCCTCCTTGCCGCTGCGATGAGCAGCTGGCTGGCCGTTGCGGCTCAGACTGCTCGGGAGCCCCGGGCCTTGACTTTCCCGTAGTCTTTGGACCTGAACGGCTATTAATTCTTATTAAATGTACAGGGCACTGCCATTAGATTCTCTTTCTTGCACTTTTGTGACGGGTCTAGATGTGAGCCGGCAAGAATGCTCTTTTCCTATCTAGGCTTCAAATGGGATTTTTTTCCCCTTCCATTGTAATAAAAAAAGGCGGGGGGGGGGAATCTGCTTGAGAGTAGAAAGGGGAAAGTGGACAGCTACGCCATCGCTCCCCAGTTTCCTAACTCGGTATTTTCCACCCGCTGACACTAAGCGATTCTAGCAGGAAAGAATCTATTCCTTTTGGATCAAAAACACCACTTTGGACACGGGCAATAAATCTGTGCGGTTCAAGCTGCTCCTCCTAGACCCTGCTGTGTAGACGCATTTAAAAAGCGCCCCCGTGGGAATGGGCTTGAAAACCCAGCTCGGAGTTCCCGGGCCAGCGTTTGACAGGTCAGACCCTCGCGCGCGCTCTCGCTCTCTCTTTCTCCAAGTCCGGTCCCCTTCTGTCACCCCACCCCCTACCCTCGTGCAGGACTCAGATACCGATCCCCAGATCGAGGACACGACTGACAGTTAAATTGCAATGTAGGCCGAGTTGGGGGGCGGGGGGAAGGGACCGTGAGTCTTTAGCGGGCCCTGCAGACAAAGCGTCTCCCCTCGGAGCCAGCGGAGCCGGGTGCAGCGGCGCACAGACCTGTCAGCGCGTCTCCCGCGCTCGGGAGAGAGTTTGCGAAGTCATAATTATATCTCTTAACCTGTCTTGCTCTCTGCAGAAGAAGGTCCCATTATATTGAAATGAGATTATTAGCCATCAAATACTTTCTTTCTCGGGAATTTTTTTTCTTTAATTCAAATACCTTAACGACTTGGCAATTGCATTTTGATCAGATTTAGTTGGCGCCCCAGCCCGGTGTGGGAGCCAGGGCGGGAAGGCAGCTGAGAGGGGAGGGACGAGAGGGTGTCTAGAGTTCGCAAAGACAAGCAACCTCTCTTTTATACTTCTACGTCTGGTCCACCAGAAGGGAACATCTGGGCCTAGGGAGGGGCAGTGAGATAAATTGAGCCGGCAGGTCAATCTCTTCTCCTCCTTCAATCTTTTTAACCCGCTCAAATTACTTCTTTGCAAACGGATGGACATCCCCGCTTTCTGTAGGGGTGGAATCCAGGCTGGGGCAGACATCAGGCAGCAGAAATTTCATAACTGGAAGAATAGGCGCTGGGTCTAGGGCACCAGGTAAGGACCAAGGCTGGAGCTGGGCTTTGCCCACGCTTAGCTGTTTCTACAGGAGACTGGCTCAAGACTCCAGCAGGCTTCCCCCGTGGATGGAATTTCAGTGCCTAATAAATGAGGGTTTTCTGCTCTATGCCCAAGGTCTGTCTGGTTTTACCAAAGATTGTGAGCCCCTTGAGGGGAGAAGCCCATCTTGTTTCCAGACCCTGGAACCTGTGTCACTCCAGTCAGCAGAGGCCCCCTTCCCCCTCCCTGGGCTGTGAGCCTGCAGGAGGATATGAGGAGGAAGATTTTTCCAGACAGTCATTGTAAAGTCCCTCTTTTTGACATCCCTTGGTAGGAGGAGGAGTCAGGCTTGTTTTCCTTGGCTTCAACCCAGACTGAAGGAAAAATTAGGGAGCAAGGCAGCCTCCACACACACCCCACCTGGCATTCTGCATGTTCTTAGGTCCTGGCAGGTCCAGCGTCTAAACTCTCCCATCTTCTACATGAATAACTCTCTTCAGGGACTCAGAAAGCAATATGGCAACCCAGAGACCAAAAATTCAGCTTCTGGGCCAGGTTACGAGCCATACTGTCTTGGAGCAGCCCCCTCACCCCCACACACACCCCCAGTCTCTGAACCTCTCTGTCTCTCTATGGGATTAGAAGACTTAGACTTCAACTCTAGATGATTCCTTTAATCTCTGACATCATTTTCCTACAATGATTCTAGAAAGGACTAGTTGTGGCTTTAAAAGCTTCCAAATACACAAACATAGGTCAATGAATTGTTGTTGAATTACACCATGGGATAACATATAGAAAAGAAAGAATTCAGTCTTGCTGAATGGAACAAGATAATATTTTCACTGTGCTGAGTAAAAGAAACAAAAGAGAAACATTCTTGGGGCTGGAGGATGACTCAATGGTTAAGGACACTTCCCGCTCTTCCAGAGGACCCACATGGCAGCTCACAAATGTCTGCAGGCATTTAGCACACATACATACACTCAGGCACCCATGCCACATACACATAAAATTAAATACATTTTCAAAAAAGAGAACATCCTCTAAGGTTCAGTTTACTAAAAGTGGGGGTTAGAGTAGGAAGAGCAAAAAATATTACAAGACAGGATGATGGTTACATGGAGAGGGTATGACCGGAAGGGAAGATGAAAGAGGCATCTGGGCCAAAGGTGATCTTCTGCTTGTGATGTAGTTATAGAAGTATGTTCTGTTCGTGTCACTGATGTACCCCTGTGGCCACTGCCCACGGTAGAAACCTTCTCTTTGAGCCTCGCATTGGAAATTCTTTTAATTATTTTTCACTTTGATTTATGTGTGTGTGTGCATCTGCTTGTCTGTATGTGTACCATATTCATGCAGTTGCCCTAGGAGACCAGAA